TACATAGTACGGTCAGTCTTATGTCTTGTTTGTGTTTCTTAGTCCGTATGAATAAAATTGTATACGTCGTGTATCGTTTAAAATATCAAAGCTAATAAAATGCAACAACAAACAGAACTATCGATCACTAACACAATAAAAAGGACCGATTAATTATATAACATACAATAGGAAATGAATTTAATCCAAACGTTTATTCAAACGAAAATTATTTACAGGGCGATTCTGGCAGTCCACTGATACAAGGCAAAACCATTGTTGGATTAGTTTCTTGGGGCATCCCATGTGCAGTTGGATTCCCCGATGTCCATACTAGAATATATCCGTATGTAGACTGGATACGGGCAAAAATTCAAGAAAAGAGTAGTGAAACCTTCAGTGCTATACAAGTAAAAACTAAAGTTAAGGTATCTCTATCAAAAAAAAAAAGTAGTTAATAAACCAGTTTCTGTTAATGCAAGAAAGAAATGAAAATACCAGTAATTTATTTTACCAATTTATTTCTTATCATTGCAATTTTAGACATATCCACCTGTAAAGGTAGAAGAATACTATTATTTTACAATATATGTTGTAGTGTTACATAAAATTATGTACAAATGGTTATAAAATGTGCATGTGTTATATTAGTGTTCCGCGTCATCACAATAAAACTTTTTTCTCCATTAGCTAAAATACCTTTTAATTGACACCCCACACAATAATTAAAAAAAAACATAGCGACGATCTTGAGATGCTGATATCGTAATGAAGGCGTATCAAATGATTACGCACTTGAGGTCGTCGTTGAGTAACCTTTATTAATACGGGCCTAAGAATAAAGTAGAAACAATAAAAATAGTGCAAACCTACATAAGCCTTTGGTTCGTTGCTAAAACCAAAAGCTTCGACTTTAAGGATTATAAAAGAATATTAGTCAATTAATAAGTACGAACACAATAAAATCGATGAAATTGAAAATTATATTGAATGAATTACACCGTGCAGGGGCAGCGTAAGTCCCCACTACCTCATTTCTTGCCTTCGGTGTCGTAAGAGGCGACAAAGGGAAACTAAAATACAAGATGGGCGGCAGCATCTTCCTTATAAGAGCCTAAAGTAATAAAAATAACATGCGTGAGTGTCGTGGAACACTCGGTTGGAATGAAGTTCCTTTATCCTCTATCCTTTATCCGTAGTATATTATTATTGATAAAACGTATTATATTATTGACTAGCTTTTTGCCCGCGGCTTCGCTCGCGTGCGCTTGAATTTAGGGACATCATTAAATGCTGTTCCGTGTCAAATTTAGAAATATTCGATCACTTTTAGAGTCACCTTGGTGACTATGTCTCTATGTCTGTCAGAGATTTTTTTTCATTCTAAAATACTATTAGACGTAGATGATTGGTAACATGCTACAGAAACACGTAAATATAGTTATAATATGTCTAGAAACTCCTACTATTTTTTATATATGGCGTGTCTTCCGATTCCGATGTATCCATAAGAAAGGTCTTGAAATCAAAATGTATTATGTAATATTACTTACATTTTACTCTTTACATATATATATTCATAGTTAAAATAAATTTAGTTTTAACAAAGTAATATAATGTTTATTTGAGATATTTTATTCATATCATTGGTCCTCTTTAATATTGATTGGCACCATAAAAAGATATAGATATTTTTATTTACTTCGAGTAGACTTGAAAATTTCATAAATACAGTTCTATAATAATGAATACCACACATGGATTAAAACTAATGTTACGGGTTTTTTACGCATCTTGACTCCTCACCGAATGAAAGCATCGAAGCTCCGGGAAGTCTAAAGTATGTAAACATGTTTAGTATCGTCCCAAACATTATATACAACAAATTCTTGCAATAGAACACCGAATCCTACCAATGATGATTCGCGTGGCTATTGAAATTAAAAATATCCTAATTTTAATAGGGAAGATGGCTGAGTGCTACTATCTGCTAAGGACTCCATGATTAATAAAATTAAATCCAAACTACTACTGCATTTTAACTATGACATCAGGTCGTCAAACACCTCAGTTCTCCCACCCCTCCCGTGACCATGGGTGCTATAAATTGCCCAAACCATCGGGAATTTAAAATTAAGCGCAAATAAAATCCTTAAAATTACTTTATTCCTTATAAATTTTATACACAGTGAACGTGAGGAACACTACACTCATGAACGGGAGTAGAAAAATGTTCGCACTGTTGTGTGAAAATCCAACACATCATATCGTCCCGTCGTAAGAGGCGACATAGGGAAAAAACAGTAGATGGGATGATCTGCATCATCTTCTTGACAACAGATCAAAATAATAATAGCTGCGGTTGCCAACCCGCCACTATAGCAAATATCCAGCTACTTGACAATTTATGGGAGAGGCCTATGTTCATTTCAGTGGACTTTTCATAGGCTGACGATAATGAGTTCTACTCATCTTTGCAAGCCTTAATATTTAGGGTAGAGTGAAAACATAAATTATCATACCCGAAAGCACGAATGAAATAGAAACTGCATATATTGCCCCATGAAAAGTAAAAAAGCAGCTTACATACATGCTACTACTGGGCACAGGCTGTAGAGTTTTTGGCCAAAAAAGAGTTCGCTGCACTGATTCCAACGCGGGATGAACGTAATGTAAATGATTCAATTATTTACATCCTATATTCAGTAGCATTGTATTATTTCATTTTATCATTGTCTTGCCATTTTAATTTATTTAGAAGTAAGTAGGTGGCGCTAATATTACATGAAATAATGAAAGCCAAAACTACACCATCTAGTAATATCAGCAATAGAAACGAACATTTATTTATTATATCAAATCAATAAGGGATAAAGTGATGTCAATTCTCTTAAAAGTTCTGTTTCTGTTAAAAATAAGCTATCAGCGCCGCTAGCGGTGAAAAACGATAATGATATCGTCATATGACCATATTATGAAATAGCAACGTTGTGTTTAGTTACTAATAACTTCAAAAGATTTCTATTCATTGATTTGGTCAAGCTATATAATGACACGGTCATCAAATAGTGGTAGTGTTAGTAACACATTCATTTCAGTCCTTTTTTCAGTGTTTTCACGAAATGATAGACTACTTTATGATATATGATCAATTCTACGATCTGGGCACGACTTACATAAAAATCTCTTTAATAAAACTATGGTGATAATGAAAATTCTGCAACAATTGCAGACAGACCGGTTTTTATCACTTTACATATATATTAGTACCTAATTGAAATAAATACCTTATCAATTTTCAAATTTTTGATAGACATCACTATTATCTATTGAAATTATTACACTTTTAAAATAAAATAACAAAATACTAAAAAACTGAACGTTACAATTTTTTTAATAATTTTAAAAATCTAATAATTTAATCATGTAAATGTAAGTTATTTATATTATTTCATTTATTAGTAAATGAGGGCAAAATATACAACTTTTTCCATTTGATGATAGATGGCGCTGTTTTGAATACGAAATCGGTGTAGTTTCAAATTATTTTACCAAGATTATAACTATATTTTAAACTTTATTTACAAATATGGTAATATGGTATTTATTTGAAAAACACCCGTCATTCCGCCTATAACTAAGATACAACATAAAATTAACATCTAAAGGAAATTAATAAACTTAACCTTCCTTTTTTGAAGTTCCGTAATCGGATAAAAAGTAGCCTATAAGTTGCCCCGGGTTACTGACTACCTACATACAAAATTTCATGTAAATCGGTTCAGTAGTTTTTGCGTGAATCCGGAATACACAGACAGACAGACAGAAAGACAGACAGACAGACAGACAGACAAAAATTCTAAAAACCACTAATTTGGCTTCAGAACCCTTTATTTAGTTCCCTGGACTTGTTTTTTCAAGAATATATTAGAATTACAGACACAACTTTTCTACAGATTTATTATATGTATAGATTAACAAATACAAATAAATGAATTACTAGCATCTATTAAAATTAAGCGTCATTTAAAATTTAAAATAAAATAATATTTCTTTCATGGCAAGATAAGAAAAAGTGCGACGGAGATGGATATCATTCCATCTCGCTTCCTTATAGCTGCAAAGGCCGTCTACACTGCGTCAGAAGGGGTCGTGAAGGAAAAATCTTACACTTTTTCTCACTTAGCCCCCATCTGTCAAATTCGAACCGTCCGATAAGGAACTTCGTTCCAAAAATTGCGTTTACTAAGTACTAACTAGACTTCTACGCGTGGCAACTTTGGCAAATATCCCTGGCAAATATGAGGCAATCTATATCATGGAAGCATAATACTTGAATGGTTGTTATGATGGTGATGAAAATGAATTCATGTGCAAGTTCGAAACAAACAAATAATTATTTGTATAAATATAATATAATATATAAATTCATACTTGAGAATGTAATATAAATCAATTGCAATTCTGCATATAGATAAATAACCAAACCTTATATGGGTGAAACGAACGAGAATTTGACAGCAAATGTTTGATTTTCAAAGACAGTGGCGCCACTGAAAAGCCACGGCGCCGCGGCCAGAGGACGTCTTTCGTAAGCAAAACTTCATAACCGTAATTAAAACCCGAGAATATTAAAAAGCTAAGTTTTGTAATAAGTCTGAATGCATGCCAAACGAAAAGTTTAAAATTGTGTGTCGCCTTCGCTCCCTTTCGTTCGGCTGATCTGTAACCGTAGTTATGTTTCGATCCAATTTCTACATGAATTCAAATTATTGTATCTTAAAGTTGAAATGAACACAAAATCCTTCGATGAATTACAAATAACATACGACCGATTATCGGCCGTCGCTCATGTCCTTCTTAGAACGAAACTCAGGTGTCAGCCATTAGAACATCTTCATACAAATGTAAGCATATTGTCTCACTGCATTGCTGACGCCACTGCTTTCGCTTTTGTTGAGAACATGAACAAAGGCTATTCAAAAAGTTGGTCGCTTTACAAATTGCGTTATAAATCTATTTTAGGAAGAAGATCGTTTTCTACAAAGTGTAAAGAGTACCTTATATTCACTGTGAAAAGTTTTTAAATCCAAAAGCACTGCCATTACAGGCCTTCCATGAGCACATTGAAATGGAATTTTACAGTCAGATAAAGAATGTATAAGCGTCACACATTCTCTTTTGGATAATTTATCGCCGAATTTTATTGCGTATCTGCATGCCTAAATAAGAATAAGAATAAGCACACTGACATGGGGAGTATAAAGAAACATCAAAGTCGCTCTGAAGTATAAAAATTGGTATAATCTAATATATTTATCAAAATCGCGCAAAAGCCCTTTGAGTAAGTTTCTCATGTTTTTTTAGTTTAGATTTTATTTACACTGTAAGGGTAAATCCGAATATGGCGGAGGCTTACTAACGTAACTTCTCTCGTTACGTGTAGGTATTATTTATGAAGTATCTAGATTTTACTATTAAACTATACGCTTTTCCAAGAATGCGTCAAATGACGTATTTATTGAAAAATTTGCTCATATTCACCATTCTGAGCGTACTGTAAATATAGTTCGAAATCTCATCAGCATATGGCATCTTCGAATGTGCATCATGTGCGAGTGAATTTAGCACGTTTAGGAATAGTTATTATATATATATATATATATATATATATATATATATATATATATATATATATATATATATATATATATATAGGACGAAATGTGTTGCATTATTATTGTAATTTAAGTATATTACTTTGGGTTAAGCTTAAACGAAAACACTGAATTACTTGTTTTTTTGCTGGAGCAATCAATACAAAACAGTGCTGCAAACATTGAGTTATATGTACTACGTACTAGAGAAGCCATTCCGAACATTGACTATGTTCAACTGTACTGTAGTGCAATCCATACAAACTAAATATTACGTAAATTGAAGATTTGTGAATTCCATAAAATAATTATTTATACATTTTATTTAGAACCATGTTTGTTTAGATTAAATTATTTTATATTAAATTATTATATTAATTTATTTTATATTAATATCTTATTTTATATTAAATTAAAGTATTGGCGCATGCGCGAAGACAGAGTAGGACACAATTTTTGTTTGGAATGGCTTCTCTAGTACGTAGTACATATAACTCAATGGCTGCAAATTAGACCAATGATATAACTAGTCACATGGACATGAGTGATCTAAAAAAGGGAAGTACGGATACTTTAAGCCATGTATAAATAAACTGTAATTGTACAACAACAATCCAAAAGCGAAAAGTCTGTAAGCAAAAGCTTTTAAGCGTTTCAATTTTTTCAATTTATTTATTTATAAAATGACTAACGTTATTAAATATTTGTTACTAATTCTGAACTATATTTTAAACTGATAAATATCTTCGATACATCATTGACTTATTATAGTCATAATTACAATTCTTTTCTCAGAAAAACTTGTGTTATCGCGTATTTCAATGCGTCATCTGAATTAATTGTGAATAATACATAAGATACACAGGTGCATCAAACTATGAATCATTAAAATTCTATAGAATGTTACCAATTATTGTTAAATGACTATATCATATACATTATGTATGCGGTTTAAGGAGATAATATGCAGACTGTTTCTCAGCCTAGAATGAATGCTATACGAGACCAGAATGGCTGTATTCTGAATGACGAAGTTTTGAGTTTAAGGAGATGGAAGGAATACTTTGAAAGTGTGTTTATGAGTGATGGGACGTTTGAATTAAATGAAATAGAAATTCCGAAAGAAGAGGAAATAGATAGAGATATAAGTATAGATGAAATAATGAAAGCAATGAAAAGTATGAAAGCAGGTAAGGCAGCCGGTTATGATAGAGTATCTCTCGAAATGCTAAGGGCTGGAGAAGGAGTGAAGGCAGACCTGCTTTACACCTTGTTTAATTTATGTTGGGAACTTAAGCGGGTACCGGGAGACTGGTGCAAAGCCGTGATAGTCCCAATATATAAGGGAAAAGGATCACAGCAGGACTGTAAAAACTACCGTGGTATCAGCTTGATTAGCATTGTGGGAAAACTGTATGCTAAGGTACTAATTGAAAGAGTTATGAAAGAAACTGATGGAAAAATTTGGGATGTGCAAGCGGGATTTAGAAAGGGAATGGGATGTACGGATCAGGTCTTTTCCATGCGCATGATCGCGGAGAAGTTTTTGGCCAAAAACCAAAAAGTTTTTTGTGCGTTCATAGACTTAGAGAAGGCTTATGACAGAGTGGACAGGGATGTGTTATGGCAAACACTGAACACATTTGGGTTGAGCGCTGGCTTGATACAGGCATTAAGGTCTCTTTATAGGGACTCTAGTGCTTGTGTCAGGATCAACGGGGCCTACTCGGACTGGTTTGGCATCCATAAAGGTGTCAGACAGGGCTGTGTGGCTTCCCCGTGGTTGTTCAACCTATTTATGGACAGTTGTTTGGAAAATTTGAAAGTAGAAGAATGCGGGTTAAGAATGGGTGAGTTAACCGTCAAATGCCTTTTGTACGCCGACGATCAAGTCATACTTGCATCGTCGGCAGCCGAGTTGCAAATGATGGTTACATTAATGAACAGGAAATTAAAAGAAAAGGGAATGAAAGTGAACGCAAGTAAGACGAAAGTTATGGTTATTGAAAGAGAAGAAAGTAAAACGATATGTGAAATAAGAATAGAAGGGGAGTTGGTAGAGCAAGTAGATGAGTTTGTATATTTGGGATGTGTGTTTAGCAGGGATGGCAGATATAATAAGGATATAGAACGACGAGTGAATGCAGGAAATAGAGTGAATGGGGCTCTACACTCTATTGTGAAAAGTCAGAATGTGTCCAAAAAGGCACGTATGGCAATTCACAATGCTGTGTTAGTACCTACTTTAATGTATGGTAGTGAAAGTTGGGTGTGGCAGAAGAAGCATGAGAGTAGAATAAATGCTGTAGGAATGCGGTCATTAAGGAGTATGTTAGGGATGAAGCTGAATGACAGAGTGAGAAATTGTTTAATAAGAGAAGAGTGTGGTTTGCAAGATGATGTTGTGACCAGGATTAAGAAAGGAATGCTTCGGTGGTTTGGTCATGTAGAAAGAATGAATGAGGAAAGAGTGACAAAGCAAATTTATGTTGCAGAGGTGAACGGCATAGTCGGGAAGGGTCGCCCTAGGCGAAAGTTTATCGACCAAATTGGCGATATATTAAAAATGGGCCAAATCAAGAGTACCTTTAACCGACGAGCGTGTATACGTAGGTATATGGATGTGGAGGAAGCGAGAGAGGTGTGTCAGGATCGTGCCAAATGGAAGTCCATAATCTCTGCCTACCCCTCTGGGTGACAGGCGTGAGTGTTTATGTTTTATGTTATGTTATGTTTCTCCAGATACGAATTTCAATTGTATGTGGTGTACCATGCTGATTAAAGACAGAGGCTCTGACGCATAATTGAAAAGGACTATGTCCAACAGTAGATTTAAGAAAGCCGTAGGTGTTTTTGTATTCGAAATTCAAAAAATTTTACGCTTTCTTTAAAGCTATTTATAGGTAGGTACTTTTTAAAACTAAATTCCTTCATCAGACAGTTTTAAATCTTTACCTCACTAAAAACAAGTTCCATAATCGATTTAGGATATAGTAATGTGTTGCCACTGAGCAATTTTATCGCTTTAATTTGCTCAAAAATTAAATTTCTGACAGAATCCAATATAATTTCTGGCTGCAAAAATGGAAAATATAATTTTTAATGTTTTTCTATTGTTTTCTATCGAATTATTTGAAAATTCAAAACATTTTTGTAATATGTCACCTGTCTTAAGTGCCTTCCAAACAAAGCTTTAGGTACTGCATTGATTGTTATTTCACAATCATTTTGAACTTTCCAGTTTATTCCAAGTTGTGTGAATTTATCTTTATAGTTATTTAAATAAATTATGTTATCCTTTGGGAGTTTTAAAAAAAGATCTTCACACTTGGTACTTATCCATTTACCACCAATTATATAATCTGGTTAAAATTTTGTTACATAAGTCTATCTCTCCTGTTCAAAAACTCTTAACAGAAACATTTAATAAAAATTACCTGACATATTTTTCTCTAGTCGTATTCTCTCATGAACTGCATGTTGATCAAACAACACTAGATATTTTATTGTCTTACAAGTGTCACTTGGTAATTCAGCTGCTATGAACTTATTGTCCACTTGACCGAACACCTAAAACGATAACAATTTATTAAAAACAATAAACGCATATCCGAAGGCAGCGTTTGAAACCGACTCAGAGTATCTGCATAGACACAACCTGGGAACCAAGATTCTACATCAGGAACTTATAACAATGGCCTCGTTTATCAGAGACTGTCTTACTAAAGTTATTTGCCGGAGGCCCTGCTAAAAAAGATCGCGGTAAACTCTACTGGGAGCGGCAGTGCGATTCTCTAATTTTAGTAGAAATCGTGAATGACTTCATTTTCACGTTGTATTGTATCAGTATAGATTATAAGCCTTATAAAATTTTGTGAATACCGAAAGAGATAAGAGGAAAAAAAAAAGACGAATCTGAGACGACTGGATCTTCGTGAAAAACCGCTCTGTAGTCAAATATTTATAGAAGTCTATGATTGATCTGCCCTGCCGAATGTTTCATCTTGTTGAGTTTAATTTATATATTTTATATATGATATTAGGAATCTTATTATTATATTTAATTTCCTATCAAGAATAGAATTCTTAGTAATAATCTCGAATGATAATAAAATATCAACTTTAAAAAATTACAACAAAATAACAACCACTACTAACCTTAGCATTTTTGAGTGAAAGTGTGTTAAATGTAAGACATGGATTATCTTTTTTTAATCTGTTATTTATTCGTGCAGCATCTTTTGTATAACTGTCACGTGTATCTTGTACTCTATTTTCAAATGTTTTATAATTGACTAATACATCTTCTGCGAAATTATGATATAATTCCTAAAACCACACAATTTATTAATATTTGATTCATTGATTGTAAATCACTTTTTACATCACAAAGCTTACATCTTCGAAATAATCCATTTGTAAATCGTATGAACAAACATTTTTTGAAAGACAGTTCACAAATATGGGCGACATTCCTAAAATTTTAATGAAATTAATATTATTTCCAATTCCACTATGAATCTAGTTCATAGATATAATATTTAACTTTACCTTTAGGTAAAAAGCTGTGTCTATTTTGTAATTTAAAATAATTACATCTATTGCTATCTATATTATCAACAAAGGCAATACAGTTTTGTGTATTATCAATGCAAACATCTTGATTTTTTTCTTGATTACTCAAATTATTTACTTCTTGACCTTCACAATTTTGTTGCTCATTATTAATTGAACAGCTATTAATCAAATTACAGTATGAATTCTTGTCTTTATTAAAATTAGCAAAATGGTGTGATATTTGTTGCATCTCATTATCTATATAAGGTAAATCACCAACACTGTGAAGAGTTGATGACTTATTATGATAATTTAAATGAGCCTCTGTATCACACAGTATCTCATCTTTGTGTTTATCGAAATTATCGTCCATTTCAGACCTGTTTATATCTAGATTTTGATAAACAGTTGTGCAAAAAGATAAAGGATCAATATTTCTATTTAATGTTTTCTGTGATTCTAAGTTTTCAGAATTTGAAATGAAAATAACTTTTAAATTATTTCCATGATCATCACTGGATTGATGTATGGAACTTAACACAATATCTTTATGATAAGTAGAAATATCTGTTTCTTGATATTCGTTTCTATTTTTAGTAATATTTTTAATGTAATTATCAATATCTAGTGAAACATTAGAATCTATTACAGTATAAGTTCCATGTATATTACCAGTAACTTTATAGTTACGTCCATCAATGCATGCGTTATTTTTAAACACAGTATTAAAGTTCTCATTATGAAATTTTTGCATGTTATCATTTGTTTCTGAAAACTCTATTATATGAGATGACTCACGTGTATAATAAATATCTTTTCTGAGTGAATTTGCATGATTTTTAAAAATATTCGGTTTTTTATTTGCCAAACTAGATTGAAAATGGAAATGAGATTTAGGGTTTTTTGACATTTTATTCTTGGATTTCGCATTTGCATTCATTATAGATTGCATAATCTTATTGGGAAGATCAAAATTATCTTTCGAATGGTCACTTGTATACTGTTGTAAATGTTTATTATTTTTTAATATGTCTCTGTTGTCTTTATAATATGTATGGCTTTCAAATGTTAGTTTTGGCATTGTGGTAGACACTCTTGACTCTGTATTATAACTATACTTGTATGTACTGTTAGATTTGTAATTATTAAAACATAAGTCTTCCTTTTTATTATTTTCCTGCCTTATGTGACAGTTGTATTGTTTTTGGCTACCTAAAATAGTTTTGACTAAATCATATGATCGTAAATACTGTTTATTTGCTTTATTTAAGGGTATAACACCATCATTGTTATTAAAACTTTGTGAAAGTGGTCTGTACTCATGGGGGTCAATATTATATATTTTTTCAAGTTGTAAGACTTTATTGTTCCTTTTTCTATTAGTACAGTTTACTAATTCGTGACCGATTTTTTTCATAAGAGCCTCTTTTATATTTTCGGAATAAAGATTACATCTATGTTTCACAGAAGCAGTTTCTGCATAAAATTTTTTAATCAATGGGTCAACATAATGTCTATATTTATTTTTGTATTTATCCTTAGAAGTTTTCTGTGTCTTTTTTTTAACCCCTTGTGGTTTTTTATTGCAGGGATAATGTTCAGAGCTTTCTGCTTTACTTGATTTACCTACTAGGGAATGTTCATTTTTGTGGGTGTTTTCTTTTAGTTGAGGTGTCTTGGAGTTACTTTGCAAGTCTAATTCCGATTCATTATATTTAACTTCCTTTGTATGTGAGTTTTTGGTTCGCTTATAGCCACTATTTACTTTGATGTTATTTTTCTTTCTTATGGTTTTACCTTTATACATTATAATTAAAAATATATTAGTGTATGTGCCTTGTCTTTGAACTACTTTAAAATACTTAAAAAGATTATACTCACCTTTAACACCTTTGTGCATTTGGGAAATTATTATTTTTTTAGATTTGTTTCCCAATATCTTTTCCATTATATTTTTGACTTCTTCTCGGGTATTCTCTAGTTTCTTTATTTTATTGGCTTGGTTACTTTCTGTTTTTCTTAAATTAATATCACCATTATAGACATTGACTAACTTTTCCATTAACTTTTTTATTTGGTTCCAATCTTTAAATTCTATGATTGTCTTTTTCGACGTAAAGCTGATATCATAGTCAAAATGTGGACAAGATATAAAGATAAAGTAAAAGGGAATATTTTTTTTTGCTTTGCTATGAATTTCTTTTCCAGGTTGATTCTATAATTAAGACAAATTATTTTGTTATGTGGCATGTGTCTGTCAAATGTTCATTTCTGCATCTAAGCATTATTTAGAGTAAAATTTTTTGAAAAGTTTAAAAATATAAAACGTACAAACAGCGCTACGTAAGTTTGTATTTCATATAAGCAGATTTGTGATTTATCGTCTTAAAGTTAATATAATTAATAAAAATAAAAATTAATTGTTAGCTTTTACCTTTTGTATTTTAGACAGATACTGCTACGAATTAGATAATAATGGCACACAAGTTAGTACATTCTACAGCTATGTGTTTACTTTGAAAGAAAATTCCAGCATACCGAGGAGTTTTGAGTCTAGTAGTGTTTGATATTGAAAAGCAAACAGTCTTAAGAAAAATCACTCAAAGAAAAATTTGGCAACACTGGCATAGAAAATATGTTTTTATACGCAAAAAAAAAAGGTAAAACCAACCGATCTGTGATTGAGGTCAACTAGAAAATTTAACTGGTTTATGAACTAATTTACCACTAACGATAAACGATCCCATTGCACCTACGTTAAAATAACCCATACATACTTTAATCCTAATACCTAGGTCAAATTGTAAAGAAAGCTTACACACTGCAATTGTAAAGACAATAACTTAGAATATTTTTGTCAAGCTAAAATTAGATTCAATTACGCAAAAAGAGCCAAGCTAAGCAATTATTCATGATCGCGGAATATAAAAATTCGTATTTGTTACATCACTAATTGTGATCAGCAAAATGCTAAATATTCGTCGGAGAGCGTGGTTAATGTGCATGCTGTTTTACCTACCATCGTGTATGGGATAAACTCACTAAAGAGCAGTAAGTAACTAGTGCGCGCACACTCCCGTAGGTTATAATGACCAGCTATATAACGCATACGTTGTTTTAGCCCTCAGCTGTGGCTCACAGGTAAATGAGAAAACCTGGGATCAAATCTAAAATAAAAAGGAAAACACAAATAACACCAATTTAGGATTTTGAACAAATCTCTAGATTAATTTAGAACCTAGATTTTGCAGTACATGAGCAACCTGGGTTCGATCCAGGGTTCCGGTATAGATGAAATTGTTAATAGCAAATATTAATTACCGCATGCTCAGAAGTGGCAACTGCATGTTCGAGGATTAAATATTTATTTGTCGGGCGCCCAACTTCTGGCTAGTTACCTGCATGAGGTAAAATATATTTGTGAAATGCGCTAACATTTGTATCAAAAACGAGCGCAGATAATTTACGAAAAGTCTTTTCGTCCATCCTATTTCTTTGTTTCTTCTTAATATTATGTAATTTGTAAGTTTAGAATTTTATTTTTTTGGGAAATAAATATCATCTGATATTTTTGAAACTTACCTACTAAAATATAAAACGAATATCTTTATTCTCACACAGACAACACTGGGAATTGAAGCTATTGTATATTATACAATTTTTCTCTCTCTGTGGGTCTCTAGGTATGTGACTGAACTCCTCCTAAACGGATTTTGATGAAATTTTGTGTGTGATTAAGTTGATTCAAGAATGGTTTATATTCACAATAGATCTGGTAGGTGGCGCTGTTTCCGAGATCCAGATATTACACGTGCGAAGCTGGAGCGGATCATTAGTACTTAAATAAAATATTGTATTTTACCTTCACTTTCCTGATTTCAGAACATCTGCTGCTTTTTGAAAAGTCTGCATTTACTATATCATGAAGTCCACTTTTAAATACAAACATTCCATTTAAATATAACCATTTGTGTAAATTTGACTCTACATCTTTTTTCCCAATAAACGCTTTAGCCTTATAATTATTTTTTTCAACTTGTAACTCTTGAAAATCATTATTATTTATTCCAAACAAAGAAGACAAAGTTTGATAAATATCTCTGTTCTTTTGAATTTTAAAAATTATTTCATTCTTTGAATTATCTCGTAAACTTATTGAAACATTTGTTTTTACCAATGACAGTTGCTGTAAAAATAACTTGATATTTTCTAGTTCACTTAGAGCATTTATAGCTTTTTCTTGAATATGCAGATTATAGAGAAATCCTTTAATTTCTATCTGTAAACCGAAAATAATAAACTACTATGAAAAGTTATTTAAATATTATTTTACTTGTTATATAATAATACTTTCTTTAATGATTTCTTATATTTACGCGAACACTACACATTTTTAAATAAAACTAATTTTACGGATTTTATCGCGTATATTAACTTATTTTTATATTCCCGACGTTTCGGGTGCTCTCCAGCACCCGTGGTCACGGGGGACTCCCCCGTAAGTTTATAAGTTAATATACGCGATAAAATCCGTAAAATTAGTTTTATTTAAATACTTTCTTTGTTATTTATTTCAATATATGAAAAACATAATATGTCAGTATGGTTTTTCTAAAAATACACTTGCTGACATTGAATACCATAACAGATTTCCTATACTAATCAGGGCACTAAAAGGCTAATTAAAGACCACAGAATTAAAACTCTTGCAATGCTAATAAATACTGTTTCCCATTACCAGTGTGTTAAATTTGGGTTTAACATATTAAGATAGATTTGCCACCATCTGTTGGTTCCAAGAACTGTATCTAACAATCAGCAGCATATCTTGGATTCAGGTGATGTTGGCTTTTGAGAAAAAATTAACAAGTTATTTTCATGATGATTCTTAGTCAAGGATAGATGTAGATGTCTTTGGGCCTCACAACATCTACATACCATCTACTAAACTGTGTGCTTGTTTACGACCCTTCTATTAACACATTGCTACTAGGGTTTCATAGAGAAAAGCCCACCATTTTTTCGTGATTTTATGATACCAATGAGGGTTAATAATCTTCCACTCACCAGATGTCGCTAGTTGGGACTGAGATGAAGTATTTGTTACACAATGCTACAAAATTATAATTGAGAAGTTCCATTTGAAATAATGTTTATTAGTGTTTAGAGTATATAAATCCATAAAACAATGCCTCAATGGTTTGCTCTTCAAACTTTGCAAATTTTTAATTATGCTACTTCAAGGAATATCTGCAGTTTAGTTTATCCATTTCTTATCTAATAATATAAAATTTAACTAACATTTTAGAAAGAAACATTAACCCTTACATTTCCTAATAATTAACTTCACTCACTATGAAATTTGTCAAATATTTCACCTCATTTTTATGTGGCACCGCCCTGGTGGCAGAAAAATTTGTGGATGCCTTTATTGGATTAGATTTTAACAATTCTGTTAAAGTCTAATCCTTGGTCCTTCACTGCTGGCCGTATGAGGGCGCTCAAGGTCGCTCAGTGAGCTATGGAGACAGCTATGCTTGGAGTGTCTCTGCGTGATAAACTTAGAAATGAGGATATCCGCAGTAGAACCAGAGTAACCAACATAGCCCAACGGATTAGTAAGCTGAAGTGGCAAAGGGCTGGCCACATAGCTTGAAGAACCGACAACCAATGGGGAAGAAAGATTCTCGAGTGGCAGCCTCGTACTGGTAGGCGAAGTGTAGGGCCACCTCCCACTACATGGAGTGACGACCTGGAAAGACATGTAGCAAGTCTATGGATGCAGGTGGCTCAGGACCGTGCTTTGTGGCATTCCTTGGGGGAGGTCTATGTTCAGCAGTGAACTTATAAAGGGCTGTAATGATGATGATGATGAATTCTGTTCCAAACACATCACAATTCAACATATCCTCATGAACTGACTTTTACATATATTTGATAATAGGTTTTGATAACAAAGCAATGTGTTACATATATGAGACTGCTGATATAAAACTATGGAGTGGGCTATACTGGGAGTTTTTGTGTGTGAATGGACTTGCAATATAAATATATAATGAGGATATCCGCAGTAGAACAAGAGTAATTGATACAGCCCAAAGGATCATTAAGCTGAACTTTATATATGGTAGAGCCACATTGCAGCTATATTAAGTTGTAGCACAAATAGCTTGGCTCGACCGGGGCAGGACCACGGCCACACTCTCACAGAATACCAGTGTAAAATAGCAGCTTAAGACTGCTGTGTTTCGTATAGTGAGCATAGAGAACCAGAGACTCTTTTTACTGGAAACTGGGCATTCCATCTTAGTCCTCAGGGATGACTACGCATCTGCATTTTGATTCTTTATTGAAGTTAAATGAAAATGTATATGGGCAGCATCCACTTACCATCAGGTGGACTGTGAGCTCCTTTGTCACCTTTATTTTATAAATAAATAAAGTAAAAATAAATAGTAACAATGGGCCGGCCATATAACTTAAAGAATTAATAACTAATTGAGAAGAAAGATACTCAAGTAGCAGCCCTGTAAGGGTAAGAAGCAAGTAGGGCTGCCCCCACTAGCTGGAATGACAATCTGGTAAAAGATGCAAGAAGTCAATGGAAGCAGTATGTAGCATGTCAGGACCGTGCTTTATAGAATTCTTTGGGGAAGGCCTATTTTCAGCAGAAGACTTGTGATGGGCTGTAATAATGACAATAATAAAATCTTGAACAATACATTTTTTATTCACCTTAAAATATAACAAGAAAATTTCTGCCACCAGATAACTACTACACTACAACAAAGACTGTTAACTATCCCTAGAACTCTAGGATTCTCCCTAAAAAGAAACTAGCTCTTAGGCTGCTGATATTTTCACCAGTTTTGGTATTTAAAATATATTTTCTTTTAAATATTATTAACTTCTTTTTCCCAACCAAGACTTGGAATCAATTTTTTTTAGAAACTTAAGAAGCTAGATATAATTTATATTTCAGATAGGTAACTTACAGTTGTTCCTTTAGAAGGTCTCATTATAGTTGTAAAACTATCCTTGTGCTGACCGTTGTAGAAAAATTTCACCCATGTTTCTTTAGTCTTTTCATACCTGGTGGTTATTGTAACATTGTGTGACACTTCAATGATATTAGAAAGTGCTTCTCCATGAAATCCATATTTATTTGGAGCACTTTTAAACATAGAGATATCATCCACTTTACTACTTGTGTACCTCTGTCCAAGTAGAGGAATATCTCTTTTTTCAATTCCACATCCATTGTCAACTACTTGTATGAAACTTTCATGAATATGAATTCGAATAGCAATAGAAGTAGCATCAGCATCAATTGCATTGTAGACCTGAAAAGACAAATTGATAATACTTATGAGGACGATAATAAGATGAGAAATGAATAATAATATGTACTTAATTTAAAGTTAAATTTACCAATTCTTCCACAGCATTTTTATAGTTATTTATTTTAGCTGCAGCATTTAATCGCGACTGAATTTCAAATGGTAGTTTTTTTATAGTCATTATTTATTTATTTATTGTGCATATGGTATCAATCTCTTAAAACATGCATACAATAAATGTTAGTTATTTGAAGTTTACAAATTTAGCGGTATTCATTTGTCACAAAACAAATAAACATTATTGATTCAAACTTTCAAACCAAACTTTTAAAAACATTTTTTTTATAAAATTGGCTTTACGGCTCTGGGTTCTAGCCCTTAGGCTCATCTCTAGATTAGTTACCCAAGTTAGCACCTTCAAACTACTACTGTTTTTTTGCGCCCAAAAGCAATTGGAAAATGGGCTACCCTTTACGTAGGGAGGTGGAAAATGCATTTATGCATACCACGACAGCCGGTCTGTCGTGGTTATGCGGGACTCACTGTATCTACCTACGTGGGACCTAAGTGATACCCGCTAAAAACCGTCTGTGGGGACTGGCAACCAGCTGTTTAAGCTTCTTATGCCGGATCGGAAGCGATCCTCTTTTGGGAGAAGAAGGTGCAGGCGGCTACGAGCCGCTGAGGGAGTGCCTACTAAGGCAAATTAATTATGAAATTTTTTATTATCAGTTGGCCTGAGCCGCCAGGATGCAGTTCAGGTCGTTTGAAAGTTTATTACGCGGGTCCGAGAGGGAGTTCCTCGGCCTGCGGACTCGATAGCGAGAGGGGAGTGGGGCTGCATAGTTAGCTGCCTCACGAATTAGTTTGTAAGAATGCGACTCTGAGGCTTTGAAGAAGTTCTCAGAGAGTTTTTTAAGGAATTGTTGTATTGTAGGGAGTTCTAAATCCCGATGGAGGTCGGCATTACGGACGTACCAAGGTGCATTCGTAGCTCGACGACAGAATAAGTTTTGAACTATTTGAAGTTCATTAATAATTTTGGGGTTAGCGTGCGCAAATTTAGGGGCCGCGTAAGACATGACTGCTCGTATACAGACCTTATAAAGGGTTCGCTTATTTCGGAGGGACATTTTACTATATCGGCTCAACATACTGTTGAGCCTACTTAGATAAAAACGAGCTATACGGGTTACTCTTTTGACATGGGGCTCGAAAGTGAGCCTCGTGTCAAGGGTGACACCTAAATATTTAGCAGACGTAAGTACGTTGGGGTAAGATCGGTGATGGGGCAAGACCGTAGGATTCAAATTCCCGGCGAATTATGCTATATTTTGAAAAGCTAACAATATGCTACACGACACCATTTCATCTTGCCCCGACCCTCAGTTCGCGCCAGTCACTCCGGCAAGTGGGACCTGTGCTGCGTGGCATTTTATAAAACAATGTAATTTTTGTATTATTTTTGTCCATCCGATCTTTCCCTATCACTTTTATTTACGATTTTTAGCGAGAATATGGCTTCTTTTGTTATTATTTTGTGTGGATACTAATTTTTATGAAGTTATAGCTAAATAAAGCTGGTCCATGCAGGGGTAAGATCGCTGTAGGCCGAGATCCGATGTTTCCCCTCGTGAGTGAAGATCGGATGAATATTATCCGATCTTTGCCTGTTACAAATATGGCAGTGGTTGTTAAACTTTCATTGGTCGTGTATATTTTTTCGTTGATTACTCAAGTGACTATGGGACTCATTCTCGTTAGCAAGGCTGTATATTCAAAAGTAATAAAACAATACGATGGTTTTATTACTTTTAAGTACACATTAAAATACATTTTTTTATAGGATAAGGGTGACAAAGGAGCACACAGTCCACCTGATGCATAGATTACCAAGTGATTGCTGCGGCCCATAGACATCTATATCTATCCTCTATTACAAATCAAAATGTAATTTATAATAATTATTTAAAAAATAATTTTTAATAATAAATGCCGCTTTGTTAAAATATTTATATCTTCCTTAACTCCTGCATTATCCCAGGGCATTTCGCCAGTCCTTACTGTTATTTTTTTTCCCATATAAAATCAAATGCATCCGATCTTTCTCTTATATTGAGTAATTCCATCTTATGTCATAACAAAGTTTGAGAAACATAAAATTACAATTTCTTTATATCAGGGATAAGATCGGATGGCAAGAAACAAAAAAAGAGAAAATCGTTTGGAACATTTATGTTTCTAGTAATTTATAGATCATATTGAAATATGTTTTTGAGCGTTAAAGATAGGACAAATCTCTTTTATAAACTTTTTTCTCTAAGCAGTAGAAGTGGTTTTAAATTTAAGTCCGGTCTTACCCCTTAATGGCCAATTTTTCATTATGCATATAAAAAAGTATGTCTAGTTTTCACACACCTTTAAAGCAGAAACCGTTGAGTTTACACAAGCAAAAGATTCTCAGAGCTAAACTACGTTTAACGATTAACGGTTTGCTCCATGTTCCATAAATCTGACGTATACGAATGTCGAGAAATTAAAGTTTTTCGCAGACTCTTCCAACTATTCGAAAATCCGTCCGGTATTACGCCAACGTACCATATGCCAGGGGACAGGGGTCCCTAACATACGCATTGGTGGAGTATTATTGATACGGCGTCGTTTATAATCGAAGTGAACTGCGAAGCTCTTCTCCGGGTTCACATCGATGCGCCATTTTTGGAACCAAGCTCCTAGGTCATCGACTGACTTTTGGATCTTATTCCGTACGAAAGGTAGTGTGGTACCTTTGCAGTAGAGAGCAGTGTCATCTACGAAGAGGGAGAGCTGGACACTTTTCGACGGGATTGGAATGTCGTTGGTGTACAAGATGTAGAGCAGGGGAGCAAGTACTGATCCCTGAGGAACACCAGCTTTGATGGGGCGCTGAGAGGAGAGCGTGCCTTCGTGTCTAAAACGAAAGGTACGATGCTGTAAGTAAGAGGCCACGAGACGTAAGGTACGTTGGGGTAAGATCGGTGATGGGGCAAGACCGTAGGATTCAAATTCCCGGCGAATTATGCTATATTTTGAAAAGCTAACAATATGCTACACGACGCCATTTCATCCTGCCCCGACCCTCAGTTCGCGCCAGTCACTCCGGCAAGTGGGACCTGTGCTGCGTGGCATTTTATAAAACAATGTAATTTTTGTATTATTTTTGTCCATCCGATCTTTCCCTATCACTTTTATTTACGATTTTTAGCGAGAATATGGCTTCTTTTGTTATTATTTTGTGTGGATACTAATTTTTATGAAGTTATAGCTAAATAAAGCTGGTCCATGCAGGGGTAAGATCGCTGTAGGCCGAGATCCGATGTTTCCCCTCGTGAGTGAAGATCGGATGAATATTATCCGATCTTTGCCTGTTGCAAATATGGCAGTGGTTGTTAAACTTTCATTGGTCGTGTATATTTTTTCGTTGATTACTCAAGTGACTATGGGACTCAGTCTCGTTAGCAAGTCTGTATATTTAAAAGTAATAAAACAATACGATGGTTTTAATACTTTTAAGTACACATTAAAATACAATTTTTTATAGGATAAGGGTGACAAAGGAGCACACAGTCCACCTGATGTTAAGTGATTGCTGCGGCCCATAGACATCTATATCTATCCTCTATTACAAATCAAAATGTAATTTATAATAATTATTTAAAAAATAATTTTTAATAATAAATGCCGCTTTGTTAAAATATTTATATCTTCCTTAACTCCTGCATTATCCCAGGGCATTTCGCCAGTCCTTACTGTTATTTTTTTTCCCATATAAAATCAAATGCATCCGATCTTTCTCTTATATTGAGTAATTCCATCTTATGTCATAACAAAGTTTGAGAAACATAAAATTACAATTTCTTTATATCAAGGATAAGATCGGATGGCAAGAAACAAAAAAAGAGAAAATCGTTTGGAACATTTATGTTTCTAGTAATTTATAGATCATATTGAAATATGTTTCTGAGCGTTAAATATAGAACAAATCTCTTTTATAAACTTTTTTCTCTAAGCAGTAGAAGTGGTTTTAAATTTAAGTCCGGTCTTACCCCTTAATAGCCAATTTTTCATTATGCATATAAAAAAGTATGTCTAGTTTTCGCACACCTTTAAAGCAGAAACCGTTGAGTTTACACAAGCAAAAGATTCTCAGAGCTAAACTACGTTTAACGGTTAACGGTTTGCTCCATGTTCCATAAATCTGACGTATACGAATGTCGAGAAATTAAAGTTTTTGGCAGACTCTTCCAACTTTTCGAAAATCCGTCCGGTATTACCCCAACGTACCTTACTAGACGATCGGAGAGACCTACTCTATATAGTTTGAAGATAAGGCCTTCGTGCCAGACTCGATCGAAGGCTTTGGCAATGTCGAAAAAGACCGCGATGGTCATTTGACGACGAAGATAAAAACCGCCTAGGATATATTCCACAATGCGGTGAACTTGTTGGGGGCAAGAGTGTTTCGCTCAGAAACTAAATTGGTGGGGGATGACAAGAGGGTGACCGTCTGTGGGAAACAGATGGTGCCTCATGCGAGTGAGGATGACTCTTTCGAGGAGTTTGCCCATGGCCTTGAGGAGGCTAATGGGACGATGAATATGTTCAAAACTTCGAAAGATCTATTTTTATAGCATACTGGTACAAAGTTTCAGTGCCCAAAAACTCATATTTTTAAGAAAATTAAGAACGAAATTACAAATTTTGTTCATTAGTCTTGCCCATGTCATATGACATCTATCATCTACTACTTAATCCTTTGATTTGTTTTTGTTGCAAAGTCTACAGTGCTATCGTTAGGGATGGACATTGGACATTTACAAAAACATCAATGTAATATATCGCATATTACATTGATGTATATAAAAATGATATATTAAAAAGTACATCGATGTTTGAAATACACACGACTGTTTTTTTTTGAAGTGAAAACTTCTTTAGAATCGTTGTGATTTGAAACCGAATAAAACGAAAAAGAAAGACATTCTCTCGAAGTTTAGTTTTCTGAACTACTACCACGTGTGAAGTGCACACATGTTTTCTTTTTTGAGTTAATACCCATAAAGTTATAAATGCAAATGAAAGGAAAGAGATGCGTTAGATCGAATATTTTTTTATTAATTAAATAAAGTAAATAAAATATCG